AGCCGATCGGAAAGGACTTGGTCGTCGACGATTCGAGCCGCTCTGCGCTGGATGCGGTCAAGTGGAAGAAGCTGGCACTGGGGAGCCCCAGCCCAGAGATGGGAACAGTATTCCATGTGAGGCCGAACCTGCGCCTTGTAAAGTTGCAGGCGTTGAGCCGGCATGAAATACTGTCCCGCTCTGCTGAGCACGCCAAGCTTTTTAGAGGCCAATTTGGCCTTCGCTTCCAAGTGACCACGAAACTGCACGCTACTCGATATGTCGACGCCGAGGATTCCGATACTGGCTGAGGCAACAAGGGGAGTACCTTGAAACTGAGGAGATACGACAAAGGGGTTCTTTTTAGCGGTAAACGCGCAAACTTGTGTCTTCTGAGGATTAAATGGACTAGATTTAGTCGCCCCCAATCCGAGACTTTGTCCAGCAAAGACTCGACTTCAGACACAAGTTTGTTCCGGTACTCGGTGACGTTTTCCCAAGAAATATTGGCACGGCCGGTGTATAGAGCATCACCAGTGCTGTCATCTGCATAGCAATGAATGCTACCAGCTTGCAACATATCATTGATATGCAGAAGAAACAGCGTTGGTGATAGCACGCAGCCTTGTGGAACACCAGCGTTAATAGGCTTGTAGTCGGAGCATGCACCGTCTACAACGACCTTGATGCTCCGATCTGCAAGAAAGCTGGTGATCCAATTGCATAATTTCTCGGGAAGCCCATAGGAAGGGAGCTTCGAAAGAAGCGCTTTGTGCCAAACCCGATCGAAGGCCTTCGCAATGTCCAAACTAACGGCCAATGCCTCCCCCTTGGACTCTACTGCCAACGCCCATCTATGAGTTAAGTAGACCAGAAGATCACCAGCTGATCGACCCCGACGAAAACCGTACTGGCGGTCACTAATCAGCTGGTGATCCTCAAGGTACCGCATGAGGTGGCAGTTTACATCGGATTCCATTATTTTGGAGAACAAGGGGGTGATGGCGATAGGCCTGTAGTTGGACGGATCTAAGCGGTCGCCTTTTTTAGGGATCGGGTGGACAAAAGCTGACTTCCATGATTTCGGGACTACGCCTAGGGAGTAGGAGTACCGGAAAAGACGCGTTAGAACCGGTGCCAACTCCGGAGCACACGTCCTCAGCACAATTGGGGGGATTCCGTCAGGCCCACTCGACATGTGGATGTCAAGGGAGAGGAGTGCTCTGCGAACCGAGCGCTGTGAGAATCGCACATCCGGCATGGAGCACTCACACCGCGGGATGGTCGGCGGTGTGTTCCCCCCGTCATCAAGAGTCGAGTTGGACGCAAAAAGGGAGCCTAAAAGGTCGGCCTTCTCTTTTGCGTCGTGGGCCAGTGAGTCGTCCTCCCTGTGCAGAGATGGTAGTGATGGCTTACAGAAATTCCCTTGGACAGCCTTGGCGAGAGACCAGAATGCACGGGTTCCCGAAGGAAGGCGAACTAGTTTCTCGCCAATTCTGCCTATGTGCTCTGACTTTGCCTTGGCAATAACTCTTTTGAAGGACCTGGAGGCGAAGTTATACTTCTTTTTGAGTGTGCTGGTGTTTACATCCCGAGTCACCAAAGCCACAGCCCAGGCTTGATAACACTCCTGCTTACTGCGTAATGCAGTCTTACAGGAGCGACCAAACCAAGGCTGAGATCTGCCTCCGATGGGTACCACAGATGATGGAATAAATAGTTCCATTCCCTGTAGCACTACATCAGTGACAGAGTCAGCAACAGCGCTGGGATCATCCGGCGAGAAGCAAACCCGCCCCCATGGGTAGGAAGCAAAGAAAGACCGCATTCCGTCCCAATCCGCCGACCTGTAATGCCAAACACGGCGGCAACCTGCAGAACGCAACCGCGAGGGGAGCGTGAGTGGCACCACACTCCGGATCAGACAATGGTCCGAAGAGCCAAGAGGGGCATCGACGGAAACCTGATATCCGTCCGGATGAGAGGTCAGCAGAAGGTCCAACAGGGAAGGTGTATGATCCTCAACATCTGGAATCCGCGTAGGCGATGTAACCAGTTGTGTCAGACCATATGCCAAGGCAAAGTCATAAACAGATTTTCCCGCATGATCGGTTAAACGTGAACCGAGCCATTCGGCGTGGTGGGCGTTAAAATCGCCAAGGATCACGATCTCTGCGGATGGGACCTGTTGTAGCAAGGAATCTGTAGCCATTTGGACGTGGTCGATGAGTCGGTCTGTTTCGGCATTACCGCTATGGGACCTATAGAGGCACACGTAGACGCGCGGATGGTCGTTGCTGTCTACGCGTAGCCAAAGGATGGACAGGTCCGAACCTTCAAGACTGCCGAGGCGTCGAGAACAGATGTCCTCTCTGACATACACGCAAACTCCAGCCCGAGGCACAAAGGAGAAAGTATATATATAGTACCACGACCTCACAGAAAACCTGCGTGAATTAGAGGTTTACCTCTGCGTTTCGCTTGGTGAGTGCAAGTGGCCGGAGGCCCTTTTTACTGGAAATGAGGCAATCCATCTTAGTCCTCACGGGTGACAACGCATCTACATTTTGATTGTAACAGAGGATAGATGTAGATGTCTATGGACCGCAGCAACCACTTACCATCAGGTGGACTGTGTGCTCGTTTGTCGCTTTTTTCGCATTTTGGGTGTGTGCAGTACATTATCTTCACAGCCAAAAGGCCCGTACTTTTCTATTTTTATTTCGAACAGTTTTTATGCCAATTCCAAGCGCTTGTGCGACTCGTTCTTGTCCTTGGGTAACTTCTAAAAGAGGCCCTCTATTTGCTGACTCTCGTTCAAAGTACTCCTGCAACTTCAAAACCAAGTCACGAGACTGGCTGCTAAGAGTACGCCCCCTTTTATACATGTTGTCTAGTTTGAGAGCATTTTTAGAATATAAAGTGAAACTTGGTGCTTACGAATAATACTCAATGTTATAGTGAATGGATAACATAGTAATTATTTAGGATTGTGAATTTGATTTTTCGATTTCTTACATAGACGTTCATACAAAGTTATCGCGGCATGTATAATGCGAAACGTCAAATCGGGCTTTTTAGATTGTCGCGAGTATAATTATAATATTTGTCTTCAACTCTATTAAAAAAAATTTTTTTTAAATGTTAAAACATCATGTATCAGTCAGAATAAAAAGTAATATATATATACTTAGTCGGATCATAAGTTCTGTCAAAACCTTATTATTTAAAATTTTTGAATGCTGGCTAGATGAACTTCACCAATTTTAAAAATATAACATTTGCACTTGCCGAAAATAAAAAAGACATTAATTTTCATTCATTTTGAAAATATGGAATGGTCGAAGAAAGAAGATAGAGTAGCGGTTATCACGTTGCACCGCTGTGGTTACGCGCCAAAAGAGATTTTCAATATTCTACAAAAATTGAAATAACCCTACGCTTTGTTTATCTTACTATCAAACGATTCACTGAAGATTCAAGCTTCGAAGATCGTAAGAAGACCGGCCGACCTCGTACAGTTAGGACACCCGCGATCATCAAAGCAGTGAAGGCGCGAATCCAACGAAATTCTGTTCGTAAACAAAAAATCTTAGTTCTTCAGATGGGCCTAAGCAGAACCACGGTCAAAAGAGTGATCAATAAAGACCTAAGACTACGAGCTTATCGTAAGAAGACCGGACAAAATTAGGCTGGATAAACCCCGCGCTTTGTTATGACGGTACGCGGGAAAAAAATGCCGCAAAATTTTGTTTTCGGATGAAAATATTTTTAACATCGAAGAAATTTATAATAAAAAAATGATGGGTGAATACGCACAACAATGAAGAAGCCAGCGCGCGTATTCAGAGGATTCAACGAGCACATTATCCTTCGTCACTCGTGGTTTGACTTAGAGTCTCATATTCAGGCTTAACTGAAGTGTTTTTCTGTGAAAAAGGTGTAAAAACCAGTGCCTAGGTGTACCAAAATACCATCATAATAAACATAGTGGAACCTCTTTCTCAAACAATATTCAAAAACAGACATTGGATATTCCAACAGGACTCTGCACCAGCTCATAGGGCACGAAGCACGCAAAACTGGTTGACCGCCCGTGGAATTTTACTTTTTTGGACTTTATTGGACATGAAGACTGGCCCTCTTCTAGTCCAGGTTTAAAACCACTGGATTACAAGATATAGCAACATTTGAAAGAGAAAGTCTGTGCTAAGCCTCATCGGAATTTGGAATCTCTCCGAGCATCTTTGGCTAAAGCAGCGGCAGAAATAGATATGAATGTGGTGCATGCTGCAATTGATGATTGGCCGCGTCGATTAAGGGCATGTATTCAAAATAGGGGAGGGCATTTTGAATAATGTAAATAAAAATGTATTCAAAATTAAATTACCTTTTATTTTATATATATAATTTCTATATAATTATCAAAAAGTGTATCATTAATTTTCATAAAATGTTTTTGACAGCACTTTTGACCTAAGTATAATAATTATATTATGTATAACCATAGGCAATAGTTGCCAGTATGTTTGGCTAGTATGTTTTCTCTGACTAATAACCTACTTGAACTTGAATCTATATATCTATATCAACGGAAATTAACAAGAGATTGTCATTTTTATTGGGTTGAATTGAAACAAAAATTTAACTGATTAAAATTATTGACTATTAACTTTATTGTTGAATTATATTCTGTTATTCCTTATTTACTATATCATTACTTTAAACTTAGATTATGGGTGACTATGAGAAAAAGGTAATGTAAAAGCATTTTATTACTTAAATTTATTACATGAAATGTATTTAATATTGAACTAGTGTAATAAATAATATTTTCGTTTACCGGGATAATCATTTGAAAGAAATGGTTATCCGAAACTTGCCGTGAAATAATTTGTTCGTCAGTTGACTTGCCTATTGATAAGCGTTATCATTTTGACATTTGAGTGTTATCTAACCTCGGTAATTCGGTATCGGTGTTGTACTTGTGTTTTGTAACAAAAGTGATATAAATAATTTCGATGGCCTATAACTTACAAAAGGAAGAGGATGTTAAACAATATGTGGAAAACTTAGGTATCGAGTATCGCTTCGGTTGTTATCATGAAAAAAAGCCGGAAGTATGTCAACTTTTGGGCGACTACTTAGAAGCAATAAAAAAGGATTATAAAAAGGCCGCTGTTGTCTATAAAAACAATTGTCTAGATTATAACTATGGTAAATCTTGCCTAAAATACGGGAATTACTCCTTAATTGGCCGCGGACGGGATAAGCCAGACCCTAAAGAAGCATTGCAATATTTTGAAAAAGGATGTGAACTAAGTGATCCTGCATCATGTCTACATGCTGGTGTTTTACTCACAAACACCGGTTCTGATATCACAGTTCAAAGGGATGTACCTAAAGGTAAATGTATTTTATTTGAAACCTCAACAGTTTTAAAAATATAACCTAAATAATGATTTTAGAACCATACCTCTTTCTTTTTTTCTTTCTTTCTTCAACAGAACCGAAATTTGCCAGTTTTTTCGGTACTAGGCTAATTTTTGTACTGTGATAATGCAATCAATGAAGCAGAAAGCAAAAGTACTTAACAGGTTTTATATGTAATAGTCCTCATCTTCTCTCTCTCTCTCTCTCTTCTCTGTAAAATTCGCCAATGGCGCATTGAGTGGAAAATGAAAGCTGATTTTAATTAAAATAAGAGTCTGATAATACAAGTTTACATCTAGAATTTTGTCAAATCTATCTGTTGAACTGTCTAGTACAAGTGACAAACAGAAGTGTTAGAATCTTTTTGATATGTTAGTGTCAAAGATTTAAAGTTTTATTTTATAAGTATTAATAAAATGACTTATAGTATACACAAATGAAGTATTGATGTATGTTAAAAGAGAATTAAAATCTATAGGTTGAGGTAAATTAATGTGGAAGATCATCATAGTTTAGGACAGTTAAAAAAATATGGTTTGTGTAATCTTCATCTAAGGCACATTTACACAATGAGCTATCCATATCTCTGATTGTTGCCAGATGCACATGATGTGCAGAATCATATCTAATTCTCAATGTATAAAATATTTGAAGTTGTACCTATGTTTTAACAAAATTTAAAAGACCAAAGGACCGAACCAAAGGAGGAATAATCTTTTTGATGGCACCATAGTGCTTACTCTTAACATTTTTGGATACTTCCCACAATTTGGTCCAATTTTGTTTTGTTTCCTTTTAGCTAGTAAAATTAGGTGATCTGAGTAAATAAAATTTTGCAGAATGTCATTAGCAATTGCATTTTTAGCAAGTACATCAGCTGTGTGGTTTCCGTAGATACCACTGTAGCCAGGAATCCGGGCTACTGAAACATGGGTTCCTTTAAGATGATATTTGAATAGGGTATTTTTTATTTTGAGAATTAATGGAAATTTATGTTTGCTATAAGACAGGACTGTCCATGGGGAAGGAAATTACACTTCCACTTGTATTTTTTAATATTTCTCCACACCAAAGATGGGTGAGTCTAAACCGAGGGGAAGGATAATTATTTCTGGATGTTTTTAAAGGGGATTGTCTTATTAGCAGCACAAAGAATTGCATATCTGAAATCTATATATACTGACAGAATGTTATACTTTAGTCTGGGGCAAAATGGAAAATTTATTCTAGGGGGAATAGGAGGGGTGATGAATATAGGGAAATGGTCATTGCTGTGGCCATGCCACTCTAGTCACCGTAATGGTAGAGAGTAGTCACAATAATGGCAGAGAGTAGTCACCATACAGAAGAAGAATTTGTGCACTATTCCAGTCTTTATGACAGTTGGATCAAGCTTTTACAGACAAAAAGAGATGAGAAAAAGTCCTCTTTGTCTGTAGGCGGTTGTACTAGTGTGCCATCCAGTTTTTCCAGTGGAGGCATTGCATTGTAGTCCGACAAAAGTTTGTCAAAACCACTTCGACAAGACACCAAAAAGCTCTCCTATGTCATGGTAAAGAAATGAGCATTGCACCGTTGTGTTTGATACAGTTGAAATTGGCTTTCCATAATGTTTTTGGGACTTTGCGAAGCTTGTTTGAAAGCCCTCTTCTTAAAGCTGACTTGAATGACCAATATGCTTTTGGTTGTGGGACAACACAAACTAGTTAGATTTTGTTTGATATTGACATGACTAGTTTGATAGTGACCAATATCAATCCATTATATCAGTGATGATGTCATCGTTCTGTGATCGCCAAATTAATTTAATTTGCTTTTTATTTGCTCGACAAATTTTTCGCTCACAAGAACTCATAAATATTATTTATGAGCCCCAGATTTCTAAAGTAAAAATCAAAAAATATTGAAGTTCACTCTTCTTTCTTTACGATCTTCTTTGTATCCATGTAACTTAACTTAACTTATCTTCACGCACAATCCCTGACGGGGTAGCCAGAGAGAACAGATCGCCAAGTGTCACGATCCTTACAATCCATGTATTTCTTATATATGTTGATTTTCTTTGGCTAGTTTTACGATAATATATTTTGATTTTAATCAATTTTGAACAGCCTAGAAAGTATTTATGTGACTTTTGTGGCTAATTAAAACGATTTTTTATAATATTGATGCTGATTTTTGAAAATAATTAATGAACTGGGAATCCATTTATAATTCCCAATTCTCTTATTGCTACAAAAGAATGAATACTCAGTAATTTTGGTATCGGATTTTCTCAGTTCTAAACCCCTAACCTAATGTTACTGTCTTCATTAGTTATATATTAAACCTTTTTTTTAACTTATTATATAAGCCAGTGCTTAACCACAATCCCACCTGGTGGTAAGTGGTGATGCAGCCTTAGATGGTATATCGCACTGTCTTAGCATAACAAGCCTTGTCTTGGCTTGAAAATGCCCAGATTGTATTCGGACGGAAAGATAGAAGCCGGCACATTATTCCACTCCTTTACTGTACGCATTATAAAAGTCGAAGCAAACCTCTTGGTTCTAATGCGTGGAATATTGACAACAAAGGGTTGAAAACCCGCCGACCGCCTGGTTGTCCAATGGTGAAAAGGAGAGGGAGAAATTAAAGCATGTAATTCCTGCGCACACTCACTGAAATGCATCCTTTAGAATACTGAGAGACTGGCTCCTCGGCACCTAAATACCTACTCTTACATTAATTTTAACCTTAAAATTTAGATAAGTAATGATTTCTTACGTACGCGAACAAACATATTGAATAAAACTATTTTACCCATGGGAGCTGCAAAGCACCCGAAACGTCGAGAATTAAACATAAGTAAATTAAACGCGATAAAATCCTTAAAAATAGTTTTCTTCAATTAAAATTTTGAGGTTTGTTTAAGGTATATAGTCTATGATAACAACTGCTAAAAAGGTTTTGTGGTACGAAGAATTTTAATTTAAAAAATTTTATTACTTACATTCTGTAGGACTAGATACTCGTTTAACCAATTTTAAATGGTTATTTAAGAAAAAAAAATGTGTTTCTTCCTAAATTCATTAAAAGTTTGTCAGAAATTTCATTATTATTATGTTTTTATTATAGGCTACAACTACCTTAAGAAAAGTTGTGATCGGAATGACGATATGGCATGCCATTACCTGTCTGGAATGTATCTTGCTGGAGTACCAAGGAATGTAGTAGACTTCAACCCACATAATCCAGAGAAAAATAAAAATATAGACTATTTAATTAAACCGGATCTTAAGCAAGCATTTCAGTTTGCAAATAAAGCATGTGAACTTGGTAATATTTATGCTTGTGCTAATGTGAGTTTGATGTATAAAAAAGGCGATGGTGTCGAAAAAGATTTGGATAAGTCGAAAAAATTCTTTGAACTGGCTCAAAGCTTAAAGAAAGCACATGAAACAGCGAAAGAAATCAAGTTCCAGCAAGGATTGGAAGATAAAAAGTAATATTTGACCTTTAAACTGATTAGTTGATGTATTTTGTGATTTTAGTATTTGGGCATTTGTTTGTTATATAATGTAGAATACTTTGTTGATTCAAATTAGATATTACATATATTTTGCATTAAGTAATAAATTATTTGGAAAATATATTTGTAGTTTTATTGTGAACTAATTTTAATAAGCAAGTCTATAATTTATTAATTTCATACAATCATCAATTCTACTATATCCTATTCCTAAAAAAAAAAAAAACATTTAGTTAATTAATACCGCACAAAAACTTACAGATTGGTATCATCGGCGGCTCTGGCTTCGACGATCCCTCATTGTTTCAAAACCCTATTGAGCTGCATGTGAACACGCCGTTTGGTAAACCCTCAGATACACTACTCCAGGGACAGATAAAAGGTGTGCCATGCGTGCTATTGGCGAGACATGGACGCAAACATCAGTACCAACCGAGGTACTAAGTTTTTGGAATTTAAAACAATAATAGATTTAATACTTAACATTTGGCAATCAAAGTGTTTTCTTTAGTTAAATTTGTGATGCTCATCAGCAACTTGAAAATAATCGAAAAATTCGAAATTAGAATAACTTTCAATGAATTACTATAATTAAATACATATTTAATATACATCACCAGAAAAGGAGGTTCTTAAAACCATGCGGAGTCTAGACGTGAACAAGGCTGGTGGATCAGATTGTATACCAACTATAGTTCTAAAGGCTTGTGCGCCTGACTTGTATTGACGTGGCTTGTTCCGCCTCTCATTAAGGACTGGAATAATTCCCAAATCTTGGAAGCTAGCCTATGTCTCCCTTGTACCTAAAAAGGGCAGACGTCTAGAATAGTGCCCAAATCTCGGAAGTTAACCTATGTCCCGCTTGTACCCAAAAAAGGCAGACATCTGGAATAGTGCCTAACTCTTGGAAGCTAGCCTACGTCCCGCTTGTGTCTAAAATGTGCAGCCGTGCCGAACCTGCCAACTATCGGCTAAAATAATATCAATTTTCAATATTTCCATACTCTGCCAGATCATGAAGCGTACATTGAACGCCCACCATACGTAGAATACATAGAGTAGAGTAATATATACCGGTAGAATAGAAGGAACTCCTATGTGACGGATTTACGGACGGACAGAGAATACCGTTACCCATAGATTACCTCATGGAGAGGGATATTATCTGTGGCAGTCTGGTTGGCAGCACTTCTTTTATTTAGTTGTTTTTAAGAAGATACTACGGCCATTTCCTGGTTTATTTCCCTCTGTCGCCTCTTAGGACACCCACGGGACGATATGGAGTAGTAAATATTCTTAATCCGCCACTACACGACGCTCCACTTTTTTACGTGGGAGAACCACGCTTCAGCTATATTAGTAGTATCTATAGTTGTAGCACGAATGGGTCGGCTCGACCAGGGAAGAATCACGCTCTCACAGAATACCAGCATAAAATAGCAGCTTATCGCTGTTGTGTTTCGTATGGTGAGTGTAGAGAACCGGAGACCCTTTTTACTGGAAACGAGGCATTCCATCTTAGACAACAACATCTGCATTTTGATTCGTAATCGAGGATAGATGTATATGTCTAAGGAACTGTGTGCTCGTTTGTCACCCTTATCCTATTAAAAAAAAACGGATGAGACATGGAATACATTGCTTGTCATTGTCAAAGTGTCACCTACCCTTACAAAACAATACATTGTAACAGTAGTAAGCGATCATTAGCATTAGGGCAAAGTGCCATATGACCACGGCCATCCTCTGAACATCACTATAAATATGAATATAATATATTAAATACATTAAAATATATTACGTGTAATTTGTTTATTTTATAGACGATAAATATTGAATAGTTTGTACATATCAATTACAAATGACAATATCGTCTTGTTTCATATTTTTAGAGCGTGATTTTTCAGTAGGAAGGGTTTTAGTTTTAAACTTACTTTTAGCACAGAATAAATAATAGTACAAGCTTTTAGTACGTAGTAAAAGTCGCGGCAAATAAGTCTAGCGCAGAACGAAACACGGAGGGGACGCGCACAAATTGAATTGCAAGAAAGCGACTGGAGAGCCAATCACCGCGTGGGAACGATACGCACGAACCAATGAGCGCAACTTGTGCGAAATAAGCCAATCAGAGCGACTTATGCACAATAACGGTCACCGCTAGACTTACATGCCGTGACTTATACAGACTATTATTTATTCTGTGCTTTTAGTTTTAGACGTTGTTTTCACTTATTGATGGTTTAAGTTATTTACAAAAATGTAAATTACTATCCTAACGTATTATTGAATTTCATATTTAACACAAAAACTACTCATTTAATAAGTAAAACTAATTTTAAGGATTAATTATTAAACGCGATATAGTCCATAAAATTAGTTTTATTTAATATCCACATATTTAGTCTAAAGATTCGATAATGTCTGTTTCTAACTATAACTCGAAAATTTTTCAATATACGTTTGTATTTTGAAAGTGATGTCAACTACCGAGCCAATATTTGGGCACTGAAAGAGGCCGGCTGTACACATGTGCTTGCTACCACGGCCACCGGATCGCTGGTTGAAGAATACAAACCGGGAGATCTCGTCATTTTGGACGACTTCATTGATAGGTATCTTTTAAATTTACTTGTCTTAATAATTCATGAGTTCATATACAATAATAGTTTAAGATACCCTAATTTGACTTCGCTGTGTGATATAGGCTTATGATATTTATTACCATACCTAGCCCACGTAATCCAGCGCTTGACCTTTATGCCATCACAGACAGGCAATATAATTAGCATAATAAACAAAATTGTATTATGATTTCTTATATACTAACACGAATACTACACATTGAATAAAATTTGACTTATTTAAAATTTCTGACGGTCCGGTGCTATATAGCAAAAATCGACAAGAGTTTAGTAATGGCCCATAATTCAATATGGTTTAATATTGAGGGTGTACATGAGTCAGCACCCACTCGCAAGGTCAGGTAGTGGAACACCTGGCGGCGGCGCGCTTTGATATATGTAAAATTACAACATGCTCTACAAGTGTTTAATAATAATTGAAAATTGGCAAGAAACTAGTTTATACTATAAAAAAGGGGAGAAAGTGGTCAGACCGCATTGTTGTGGAACGCGGCGAGTCAGCACGCCACATAACTATTATTATATTAGGTACTATAGAACAAACGCCCGTATTCGATATGCGCACTGCTGACTACTTCCGTTCCATCAATTTGTGGTCTGACTATTTTTTTATTAAATTATATATAATAATAAAGCAGTATGGTAACTTTCTGTTATTACTAAGCTCTTGCACCGACATCGTTTCGGCGACAACTTATGTGGCGTGCTGACACGCCGCGTTCCACAACAATGCAGTCTGACAACTTTCTCCCCTTTTTATAATATAGTTTCTTGCCAATTTTCAATTATTACTAAACACTTGTAGAGCATGTTGTAATTTTACATAATATAACAAAGCGCGCCGCCGCCAGGTGTTCCATTACTTAACCTTGCGAGTGGGTCCTGACTTAACCTTGGGTGGGAGGTCCTTTTTTTAAGACAATCAAATAATTAAATTAAGCATGAAATGTGATGTAAAGATATCAAATGTTAATCTTGTACTTTTTTAAGTTTTTTTTTTCCTAATTAATGAGTTAATAGCCTTTAAATAACGGGGGGAACCAAAGTTTTGCTCGGGGTAGCGCTAGAGCAATTATAGTGGGGGGGGGGGGATTTAAAAGTAAAACTTTATAAGCTAAAAATAAATCGAATTAAACGCGATTAATAAAGTCCGTAAAATTAGTTTTTTTCAAAGTCTCAGTATTATTTTAATCATAGTTTTTTGGTAACATCATCAATAATGCGATGACATTCCCATTCATTTTCGATATCTATTCTTTTTTTTATTAATATTCTGTAAAAATACCCGTTGTTGTGCATGTTGCCCGTCAACAGGTATTAACGAAAATTTGAGACTTGATATTTCGAATACAAAGTCAAATTTTAAAGGATATTTATCATGTCGAAAAAAATGTTCACATCTATTGAGAAGTAGGTAAACGATAGAAAAGATACAGAAGTCTCAAGACTGGTCACAGGTCTCGTGTGCGGATCGGATGCGTGTTAGCGGATTTCACGTGTTTTTGAACTATTTTTTTTTAATTTCTCAGACATGCAGGATTCCTCGTGGTGTTTTCCTTCACCGGTGCCGACGGGGATCGAACCAAGTTTGTTCGCGTACTGCTATATTTACAGCGAATTTATTATGATGAATACTTTCTTATCCCGTGGGTCCCGTGGGTGTCGTAAGAGGCGGCAGAGAGAAACCAACCAGGACATGCCTGGCTTGCGCCTGCCTAGCGTGACAACTAAGGCAAATATCTATGTTCAGCAGTGGACTTTGGTTGGCTGTAACGGTAACGATATACCATACCTATGTAGCTTCTTTATTTATCAGGACATGGGGTCGAAAATGCACATTTTACGACCGAACTGAAGGCGGTCCTAGAGGTGTGTGCCATTTGCCTATGCGTCCGGCGTTTTGCGAGAGGTCGCGACGCGCTCTGTTCGATGCCGCGGTGTCTAGGGGATATAGATGTCACGAAAAAGGAACCGCCGTAGTTATACAGGGGCCTAGGTACGTTTTATTTATTAGTAGATATATTATGTATTAATAAATATATTTCATATTTTAATAAAAAAAAGTTACCTCGCAGTGGGACTTTTCCTGTGGAGGCGCTATACTACATCATAAATTGCACATGGACAAACATTCAGACCCGGGACATTTATTGTAGACCAACCATCCATGGATATTCTTACTAATATATAAGTAATGACGGTGTAAGAATATCCACTATCTCATATCATCCCGTGGACGTCGTAAGAGGCTACAGAAGGAAACAAATCAGGAGATGGGCAACAACGTCTTCCTAATAACAACTAAAAGTAAAAAACGGCGGTTGTCAACCCGCTTGCCGCGCGTGGCAACTATGGCAAATATCCCGCCTTTGAGACAATCTATGGGGGAGGCCTATATTCAGCAGTGGAATTTATTAGGCTGTAGCGGCAACCATCCGTGCAGGTACAGTAAAAAAAAATAAACTTAATAAAACGTAAAAGCCAAACACTAAAAAGATAAAATAATCTCCACTCCACATAATGGCTGAAGTCGGTGTTTTAATATTTCTATACCTAAACTATGTTTTGACACCGTCTAATTTTTTGCTGCTTTTGCGTGGACGAAGGAATCTCAATCTCAAGATAACAACTACTAGAATATCTTCTAAACATACATACATAAACACTCACGCCTGTCACCCAGAGGGGTAGGCAGAGACTACGGACTTCCATTTGGCGCGATCCTGACACACCTCTCTCGCCTCTTTTACATCCATATATCTACGCATACACGCTCGTCGGTTAAGGGTACTCCTAATCTGGCCCATTTTTAATGTATCACCGATTTGGTCGATAAACCTAGGTCTAGGGCGTCCCTTCCCGACCCTGCCGTTCACTTCTGCAACATAAATTTGCTTTGTCACTCTTTCCTCGTTCATTCTTTCTACATGACCAAACCACCGAAGCATACCTTTCTTAATCCTTGTCACAACGTCATCTTGCAAACCACACTTTTCTCTTATCACACTATTTCTCACCCTGTCATTCAGATTCAGCCCTAGCATACTCCTTAAGGAACGCATTTCTACAGCATTTATTCTACTCTCATGCTTCTTCTGCCAGACCCAACTTTCACTACCATACATTAAAGTAGGGACTAACACAGCATTATGAATTGCCATACGTGCCTTAGTTCATATCTTCTAAACAGTTATATTGAATACTTCATTTCCTATTTTTCATCCTTAGAAGTGGTTTTTCTTCATCAAATATAAATGACGCCACCCCTGTAGTATAATCTATGTAATAGAAAAATAATCATAAAAACGGTTGACAATTATTACGAAGATATGGAAAAAAAGGAAAAACTAAGAGTTAAATTAAGAACCTCCTTGCACCGCGGTGGTCCAGTACTTGATATTATTAAACATGTAAGTTTCCTTACGAAATTTTCATTTACTGCTGTGGTAAATCAACACTTAGATCTGCGATCAACAATTTTATTGGTTACGACGAGGAATGAATTCAGGTTGGAGTATTTAATGTAAGCCTCCAGTCACTGAGCTATCTACTTTATGAGAGTACAGGTTCAAACATTATCATAAATAATAATAGTAAATAGAGAGCCGTGGTAGCTCAGATGGTTAGCACTCGCTGTAAATTTACACAGTACGCGAGGAACCCGGGTTCGATCCCCGCCGGCACCAATGAAATTGTTAATTGCAATTTTGGCCCGACTAAGGATGCGAGCCCGCTTCTAAAATAAAAAAAATATGTATTCGAATTATTTTTTATCATATAACTGTAGTGACTAAACGAATTTACGGTAGACACGGTGAAATGTAAAAAAAAAAATCTGCTTCTTTTGATTGGTCTAATGGTCGTGAGCGACTGCTGATAATGAGGATCCGGGTTTTAATCTATGGGTCGGGCCCAAAATCATTTATTGGGCTTTTCTATCAAGAAACTCTCGGCAGCATCTCGGAGTCAGAAAGTTGACGGTGTTTGCCCAGTGCCTTGAAAAGCACGTACACCCTTGCGTCCTGCGCCTAACCTCTCCGATTGTGTGAAGCTAAGGATATTTTAACTAAGACAGAATGCCTCAGAGCCTGTTATTATACTGGCTCTCTATATCCTACAGGCAACGCAGACACTGCTATTTGGCGGCAGAAATAGGTAAAACAAAAAATAAGATAGGAATGCTTCGGTGGTTTGGTCATGTAGAAAGAATGAATGAGGAAAGTGTGACTAAGCAAATTTATGTTGCAGATGTGAACGGCAGCGTAGGGAAGGGACGCCCTATGCGAGTTTATAGACCAAATTGGCCATATATTTAAAATGGGCCAAATTAAGAGTACCTTTAACCGACGACCGCGTATGCATAGGTATATATGGATGTGGAGGAAGCGAGAGGTGTGTCAGGATCGTGCCAAATGGAAGTCCGTAGTCTCTGCCTACCCCCCTGGGTGACAGGCGTGAATGTTTATGTATGTAAATGGGTAAGAGGGTTCTACCTACTCAGCCAGACACCTAGACAAATAAACCACCTCGTTAATATAACCCATGAATGGCGGCGTTGAGGTTCAATATGATAGAATCATTTCGTTGCTTGCCCAAAAATACTTACATGCGATGGGTCAGTGTTCAAAATTCATAAAAGACCTCTACAAGTTGACAGTTCTGTGGTTGTTGTGACCTGCTTTTAAAATTTTGTCTCTGAATAGGACTACAGGTACACATTGTTAAATCCCAACTTTACCTGGTAGCGCTACACTGCAGCTATGTTATGGTTGTAGCACGAATGGGTCGGCTACATCACACACTAACAGACTACCAACGTGAAGTGTGACTGTGGCTTAATGTTGATGTGTTTCGTATGGTGAGTGTAGAGAACCGGAGACCATTTTTAGTATTAGAAACTAGGCTGATAATAAAGATGTAATATCTTAGTCCGTAAGAGTAACAACGCATCTGCATTTCGTTTCTTTATCGAGGGTAGATGTAGATGTCTATGAGCTATTGGGATATTCCCTCACCATCAGGTGGACTGTGTGCTCGGTTATTGCTCTTATAAAACACGCTTTCCAGATTTTCAAGTCGCGCTGAGAGTCTCATGCACCGTCAGTGGGGCGGGCATCTCGTAAACATGACCACGGTTCCTGAGGTAATATTTCTTTAATTAAAAGATTTTTTTATAATTATATGTAAACTAGTTCAGTTTTTTAATTAGGAAAGGAAAAGAATAAAATAACTAATTCTTTTAGAAATTGAATTGATATTTTTCAACTTAGTAATTACAATTCTCAGTACATTCATTTCTTACGTTACTTTCAATTATCAATCACGTCAAAGCTTGTGTGTGTGTGTGTGTGTGTGCGTGTGTGTGTGTGTGTGTGTGTGTGTGTGTGTGTGTGTGTGTGTGTGTGTGTGTGCGTGTGTGTGTGTGTGTTTCTATCAAAAGTATTCAAGCCGCCCTCCTAAATCTGAAATCTCAAGTAGGACCAGTGATCTGATAATTTATAATGCATGAATTCACAGGTCGTGCTAGCAAAAGAGGCGGGCCTAAGCTATGCCGCGGTCGCCTTAATAACAGACTACGATTGCTGGAGAGAAGATGAAAAATCTGTAAGTTTTAGTAGTAGTTTAAGTTTAGAATTTTAATATGGTATTTTCATTAATTTAAACAGGTTAACCTAAGTTAATTTTAGGGAAAGGAATCTCAAGTTAAAGGGTATACGAAGGATATTGCAAGCTTCTAAAAATGCTTGGCAAATGAAGGTTGAGCTTATCAGAGTGGAAACGCATTACCATTAAATGAAATGCAATTATGATTTTATTAATTATACCATGTTCAAACTAAATTGTAAAAAAGTACATAGTTTTTAATTTCGCAAGCCGCGTCAATATATTGTAATACTATGAATATGTTATTAATACTAATAATAACGAGCAGGATTTCACTGGAAGAAAAGTCCGTGGCAGTAAGGAATAACTCGTAATAGAAATCATTTGTTAAATGTTCTAAGGTTTCAGTGAGCGAAGTGCTGGCTATGTTCGCGCAGAACGTAAAGAAGGCAGCGGACGTTATCTTGGATGCCGTGCAGATATTAGGGGCGGACACTGACCTAGAATATTTGAATGCGCATCGGGTGAGTACAAAGTTTTTCAAGTGATTTTTTTTTATAGAAGTGGGGGCTAACGAGCATGCAGCTCACCTGATGGTTAGTGACTACCGCCGCCCATGAACAACCGCAATACCAGACGAATTGCAGTTGCCGGCCTTTTAGAAAGGAGTAAGCTCTTTTCTTGAAGGTCCCTAAGTCGGTATCGGTCCGGAAAAATCGCTGGTGGTAAACAAAGATGGTATCGTGAATTTTGACGCGATGTGCTTTCGTGAAATTTGGCGGCAGGAATGAATTCCTCAGAGCACTTCCCGTGGTAGATGCGATAGAAAATTCAAAGGGATGCAATATCCCTACGCAGCGCCAGTGTATCGAGCCGATCATAAAGAACTCGATCGTCGACGATTCGAATGTGAGGCCGAACTTGCGCTTTGTAAAGTTGCAAGCGCTGTGCCGGCATGAAATACTGTCTCGCTCTGCTGAGCACGTCAAGCTTATTTAGAGGCCAATTTGGCCTTCCATTCCAAGTGACCACGAAACTGCACACTATTCAATATATCGACGCCAAGGATTCCGATGCTAGCTGAGGCGGCAAGGGTAGTGATAAGACTATTCCTATTACAGATGATTGAATCTATCGGTTTACTTCTTCTAACTTTTCTTAACCCACTGCTATAATTATTTATATTAAAATACCTAAACGGTGGCTATAATAAAATTATCTTTAAGAGAATTAGCAATGATTGCTATTAATTTAGTTTTAGATAACGGTAAGCATACGCAGTTATGCGTTCGGCCGCCTGCATAGAGCGCTTCAGTAACGTCGAGTGACGTAAACGGGGCGTCTATGTGCAAATTTATTTACATTCTAAATATTCTCAGCGTGAAATACGGTAATGGCACGCGACGGTGTTGACCGGTGACGGAAGGATCTAGTGGGCGTTGTGTTGTTACATAATAATTTCATCATCATCATCATTACAGCCCTTCACAAGTCCACGGCTGAAAATAGGCCTCCCTCAAGTTATGCCACAAAGCACGGTCCTGAGCCACCTGCATCCATCGACTGCCTGCATGTCTTACCAGGTCGTCACTCCATCTAGTGAGGGGTCGCCCTACACTTCACCTACCGGTACGAGGCTCCCACTTGAGAACCTTTTTTCCCATCAGTTGCCGGTTCTTCGAGCTATATGGCCGGCCCATTGCCACTTCAACTTACTAATCCGTTGAGCTATGTCGGTCACTCTGGTTCTACTACGGATATCCTCATTCCTATGTTTATCACGCAAAGAAGCCCCAAGCATAGATAGCCCTCTCCATAGCTCGCCGAGCGACCTTGAGCGTCCTCATATGGCCAGCGGTGGAGGACCACGTCTAAGATCCATAAGTCATCGCTGGCAACACCCACTGGTTGTACAATTTGGTTTTCAGGTTTTGAGGTATACCTGACGAGATGTTTCGTAATTTCCCGAACGCTGCCCAGCCGAGTTGAATCCGTCGATTGACCTCTCGGTCGAAGTTGGACTTACCTAGTCGGACTATTTGTCCCAGGTAAACATACTCGTCCACAACGTCGAGCTTAGTGCTACCAACAACTACCGGCATAGGTGTGACATGGACATTACACATGATCTTTGTTTTGTCCATGTTCATCTTAACACCTACCCGTTGTCAAACACTATTGAGGTCATTGAGCATATTGCTTAGGTCCTCCAGCGATTCTGCCATAGGAACTATATCGTCGGCAAATCGAAGGTGAGTGATGTACTCGCCATAGATGTTAATACCGTATCCTTTCCAATCCAGTAGCTTTAAAACATCTTCCAATGCAGCGGGTGAAGTTTCGGGGATATAACGTCACCCTGTCTTACACCTTTCTGCAATTGGATAGGTTTCGTACTCCGGTTCTATACTCGGATAGCCATCGTAGCCCTAGCCCTAGCCTGTACACTTCAGCACTTCGATATACCGACAGTCAACTTGGCACTGCTGAAGGGACTGTAGCACGGCCCAAACTTCGACGGAATCAAAGGCTTTCTCATAGTCCACATACGCAAAGCAAATTGGCAGAATATACTACTCTGTCTTCTGTACAATTTGCCGAAGGGTGTGTATGTGGTCCATGGTACTAAAGCCTTTTCGGAAACCGGCTTATTCGGGACATAATAATTTATAAAAACAGTATTTATGCATGTGTATATGTGGAACGTTGTAGTGGATGGTGCGTGAAGAGAAGACGATTGAACGCCTGTTTGCTCGCATGCCTGTGACACTATAAAATAATACCGCTTGGGCAGTCTATACCTTTTCCCAGTATTGGAGGAAGTTGTTTCCGTAGTCAATCTCGGCCAAGTCGACGACATCATTAGGAAAATCTAGATGTATGTAATCATAACACGTAGCTGTTATCTTATATATACTAATATTAATTTCCTTTTCACAGGAGCTGGTGACTTCCTCTATAATGTTAAAGGACTGAAAATATTAAAACACTTAGGTGAAATTTTATTTTTTTATTTCATATTATATACAAATATAAAATCGATAAACCAATAAAACACATTTCCATACAATAATTGTTTATTATTATCCTTAAAATCGTCATACAAAATGATTCAAATTACACTATAATATTATGTAAAACTCTCACACAATTTTATTCTCCTAGGCTTAATTTATATCTAGCCACTTTACCTCTTACCCTATGCTGTTTACGTATTTAATGTTGTGCAATATATATAATATAACTTTGATATACTGAGAATGTTTTAACAACTTATAGTTTTGTTTATGTCCCTAGAACAGGAATTTTCAATATTAACTACCCTCAATTAGGTAAAAAACACATGACTTGGCAGTATTAAAGATTTGATCTCAAAATGCTTAACAATAATAGAATAAAAAGTTACTGATTACATTGAAAAGTGTAATTTATGTTCGTATTTACGTACTGCTTATATACATAAAAGACAACATAGACATAAATTTTAAATCACGCTAAGTTATAGCATTAAAATATAAAATACGCACTTTTTTAAATGCAAACAAAATTAAATTGCAAACTTAATAAAAGAAACAATTATATTCATTAGTGTTTTCTCTTAATATTGTGCTTTTCTTCACTTATTAGTGCAGTATGAAAATAATAAAGCAGATTTAATGAGAGAGGGCACCGTGACCTCGTTAAGTCGACAGTGAACTCAATCATTTACGCTTCGCGTTTGAGGTGTCCAATATTGTGTCCAAAAAAAACTTGATGTGACTACGTACCACGACCTTTTGTCTAGAACAAAAATGGAAATGGTTGCTTCTACAACTACTTATTCGTTATATACAGAATTATTTTGCAATAAGCGGCCAAATTTGCAGAGAAAGTTCAGAATAAGTAATATAGGCAAATGGTGAGGAAAAATTAATTAAAAATAAATCTCAAACATTCTGTTCTTTTCATCTTTTAAATTCAAAATGCGTGCTAATGCATTATGTTATTGTCATTCATAAATATTTAACGCCTATTTTACTGTGCACACATACATTCGAAAGGATCGACCAACGTTGCGAACTGAAGCGTACACAGAGGGGGGCCCTCTGTGTGCGATTCAGTTCGCAACGAATTTTTTATTCTTCTAAGACAAAGAGTACTGCTGCGTAAAGCAACACACAAACTTGTATGTACTTCATTTTTACACTACCCCATAAATAACATTATTTGCGTGTACGCTTGTGACCTGCGTCATTGTTTAGATTCGTTTTCATCCTCTGCTATATTCTATGAAAGTAATATCAATGTGACGCCCGCAAAAAGTAACATGGCGTTTAATTGAAGCGACTTCAGATTTATTCCCACTTTAGAGATCAAATACAAGAACCCATTCTTTTAAATAATAATTGATTTGTTCACATATTCCTTTTCAAATTGTTTACTTTAAAATTATTAAAATAACTGATGTGTAAAACTTAAAAATAAATGTTTTGATGTCCTGATGTCATAGTTACGATTTCATGCTTTTTTACGTATTTCAAATTATATTACCCAAGAACAATAAACAAAAGAAAATTGCTAAAACATTGCACTGTACCAACACACCATAAGTTCAAAATGTTATTACCTAGCTTCAATGCCTATCTAACTTATTATTTAAAACTGAGCTAAACGTAATGCGTCAAATGCTTAATTCCTCTTACCGGCACCTGTAAATAAAAATTAATACAAACCAAATTACAAATAAAAACATGACTTCTTAAAATTTTTTAAATAAATGAATTTGTTACTACAGCATGTCCAAGCCACAGGAATGTCCGGTTTTTTTTACATTAAAATCCAATTATTTTCAAACGTTGATTTTTTGAAGTTATACTTCTTTTGGGGTGTTTGGGAAAAATTATGAGTGAATTTTTTACGCTGCGCGTGCACACTGATACCTCAAAGCGACAACTTCACTGGGTAACTGACTCTTCAAGTTTTTGTGGGAACTGATAACTATATTTAAGGTTACGCTAAAGAAATATAACTTCATACGTGCGTGCGTACATAAGTACACACACACACACGTTTTTTTTAAATGAACAAAGAATGATAAATACAAATCGATTCAAAGTAATTTTTTGTATTTCAAAATTACTGAAGGAGATCAAACTGGAGCACATCGGTGGGAGAAGTGCTGCTTGCCAGCGTACATAGGTAAGAGAGGATGATTCCAAAACCCCAATTCCTAAACAGAAAAGGCATCCTACCACCTACATTTACGTGGTAGATCCATACTGCAGCTATATTAATAGTAAGTGCAGCACGAATGGGTCGGCTCGACCGGGGAAGCACCACGATCTCACAGAATACCAGCGTCAAATGGCAGCTTGATGCTACTATGTTTCATATGGTGAGTGTAGAGAACCGGAGACCCTTTTTACTGGAAATGAGGCATTCCATCTTAGTCCTCACGGGTGACAACGCATCTGCATTTTGATTCTTTATTGAGAATAGATGTACATGTTTATGGGCCGCAGTAGCAACTTACCATCAGGTGGAATGTGTGCTTGCTTGTCACCCTTATCCTCTATAAAAAAAAAAACATTTAATTTTAACAAAAATAACAATAGCCACTTATTATGTTTCTTAATATTTGAGATATTTCCTTATGGTCCGAGAGCTCATGACGCATTTTTCATGAAGTGTTTGATGCATCATGAAACTTTGTTTAAAGGTATCAGTCGACTCAATAAGCAGGTATATGACTGTCTGCCTGGCCTACCTGGGTACACCTGGTACTGCGCATACAGTTAAGTCGAAAAAAAATTTGCCCAAAAAAAAGTGTTTGATTCAAATAATAATAATGACTATCCGTTAGCTAAGTTTATAAACAATTAAGAAAAACAATGGCAGACACTTCTGAAGGGGTTTACATAGGGGCAGACGACCACAAAATTGTATTTTCAAAAATTCCAAAAAAAGTGTTTGATTCAGTCTGCCATTTTTACAGCGTGTTTATTATGTATAATAAAATATTCTCACAAAAAGGCAGACAGTTTCTCCGGGGGTTACTAATTTAAAAATCTATACAAATAAATAAAATTTAAATGTCTGTTTTTAATTTCAAAATAACAATTTTTTACTAAACGCATAAGACATTATATACGATATTTATAACAAAAACACAATTTTTAAAATTTTTGTCTGTCTGTTTGTTCCGACTAATCTCCGAAATGAATTTAAAATCAGCCTAAAATACTCGTTATAACATCAATTATCTGCCAGTGAAAGTCCCGTCAAAATCGGTCCAGCCATTTCGGAGATTAGTCGGAACAAACAGACAGACAAAAATTTTAAAAATTGTGTTTTTGTTATAAATATCGTATATAATGTCTTATGCGTTTAGTAAAAAATTGTTATTTTGAAATTAAAAACAGACATTTAAATTTTATTTATTTGTATAGATTTTTAAATTAGTAACCCCCGGAGAAACTGTCTGCCTTTTTGTGAGAATATTTTATTATACATATACACGCTGTAAAAATGGCAGACTGAATCAAACACTTTTTTTGGAATTTTTGAAAATACAACTTTGTGGTCGTCTGCCCCTATGTAAACCCCTTCAGAAGTGTCTGCCATTTTTTTTCTTAATTGTTTATAAACTTAGCTAACGGATAGTCATTATTATTATTTGAATCAAACACTTTTTTTTGGGCAAATTTTTTTTCGACTTAACTGTATGCGCAGTATCAGGTGTACCCAGGTAGGCCAGGCAGACAGTCATATACCTGCTTATTGAGTCGACTGATACCTTTAAACAAAGTTTCATGATGCATCAAACACTTCATGAAAAATGCGTCATGAGCTCTCGGACCATTAGGGGTTAGGATTTATGCTAATTATGACTTGTCTAAAAATGTAATACTATTGTCGTAATGTGTATGGTATAGTAATAAGAAAAATTTACCCTAGCTGTACAACGGTTCAGTTCTTAGTCCAGGGATTGCGGCCGTGCTGTCCAGGTATCATATCAAGAAGATATTGCCTCTGTGCCTCGGCCACGCGTTGCATTTCCGCCGCCATCGCCGCAGTACTTCCGCTGTTGCCGCTTTTGCCCGCTGCTAATTAATATTAGTATAAGCAGATATGATGTTCGGATGATCGATGAGATGTGAATTTTAACAGTATACAACACTAATAGTAACACTCAAAATATGGTTAAAGTCAATGTCTTCTACTTGAAAGATATCTGGAGGTTTATTGCAATAAATGACAGTATAACCATTTTGTATTCATATTATATGTGGGCTAGTGTTGCTATCGCCAATTCGTCAGCCAAGAATGGCGATTCGTAGCCCTTCATACTATGGCAGGAGGTCTAGTGAAAGTATGAGCTGACTCATTCGCTAACTTTACTAATATATTAGAAAATTGTAATTGAAACTCAGAGATTAAAAAAAATTAAAACTTTCTTAAAACGATACAAATACCTATTTAAATATGTAGTCAAAATACTTGTAAAAAAAAAAGTTGTGTTTTTTTAATAAGTCAGTTCAGAAAATGATGTAAATTTTACATCGTTTGTTTTGGTAAGGCTAGTAAGGTTTTATAAATGACATAATTAATGATGAATATTTCCTGAATGAATCTTAACATTTAGGAAATATTTTGCTATATTAATATCATTGAAGTATGAAAATTTCATAAACTATAAAATGTTTGAATGTTGCATCTATCTAGAACTGGCGATTCGTTTTTATTAACGGAAGTATTACAGTATCACCATCATTATATTCTGTCACAAGTCCATTGCTGAACAGAGGCTTCACACCAAACACTTTATCCCAGTAACAGTGAAAAACACTAGCCACATGTGATCTCTGACCGGTAATGATACATACAATTCGCATTTGTGAGATGGAAAGTATTCAGACCAGCGACACAGCGATCAATTCATCTACAAAGCGTGGCGTTTAGGGTAATCACGTTTTTCTGTAGACTGTTAAGGGGGTGGTAAAAAAATGTGGTAGAGCTACGGTGCAATGAATTATGGCGTCAGCACGAACTTGTTGACTTGACTAAGGGAGGACCATGCTTGCTTGGAATATCAGTGTTAAATCAACAACATCTCCATTATGATTTTTCATCGACAATAGATTTAGATGTATATAATATGTAACAAGCTTTCACTTTCCATGCGGTAGTAAGCTTCCCTTATAGATTGGATTAGGGGAGCGTTAGCAACCGCAGTTTTTATAAAAATTAGTTATCATGTGGATGTCGCTCCCCATCTCTCGTTTAATGGGATACAAAAGTTACAGCATATATATGTTTCATTGCTTAGAACAGATGTTATCTTATTTTTAACAGGGTATTAAGGCAAGATAGTGTCCGTCGCGCTAACCTTATGCGTGGCGGACTTCATATATACTGACCGGCACAAAAAACGACTCACTATTTCTTTAAATAAATAATCTTGAAATTATATTTGTGTTTATTTTCGGCCAGGAACAGGTCGCCAAGGACCATACTCCTTATCCTAGCAATATTACGTAACAGGGCCATGACTGCTGTTGAAGTCAGGAATCGCCTTGCTGAAAAGTTCGAGATGTGCATGTAAGTGACAAGACTATCAGGAGGCGCCTCAATGAAACTGATACAATGGCTAGAAGACCTGCACTTGGCACAGAGTTTAGCAGGCAGCATAAAGTCATGAGACTTGTATTAGCACATGAACATGTGAATTGAGATATGAAACAGTGGAGTCAAGTACTGTTCACAGACAAGTCCCGCTTTTGCTTACGAGTTTTGTTTGTCGGATATTCTTTGCCAAAGGATAACTTAAATAACACCTATCCATAAGATATTATACCAAAAAAAAAAAATTCTAAGGCAATTAATTACTTAAAATTCAGAGTTGTTTTTTGTACCGGTCAGTGTATTTTCGATATTTTTTTTTCAAATAATATGCAGATTTTCTAAGGTGTTATCTATTGCCATTGAGTTAGTGATAAATCAAGACTTAAAATGCAATTACAATTACTGTAAAATACGGCGAGTGCTTATTCTTTGACTGAGCACGGCTCTATGGGATAAGAGATGATATGTTATGGACCAAGTGCTTGAAAGTTCGGATAATTTGAAAAGTGTTCAATATGAGAAGATTATATGATAAAAACCATAGAATATAATGAAGTTTAAATTAGTATTAATTACGTAACCCGATTTTACTTGTCATTGTTCATATAGCCCAGGTGTTATAAATAGTACCCTGATTAATTTAGTCCATAACATATATAGTGTATTCATCTTTGTTCTACGACAAGGGCAGATGATCGCGGCGTACACAATGAGAGGGTAGTGCAAAAGAAAGTAAAATGATGCGTGTGAATACGTACAACGCTTACCTAGCGCGGAGGCCTGCGCCATGGCCAGCTGGTAGGTGTAGAGCAGCGGCGAGAACTGCATCATGGCGGCCGCCGCCGCCGCAGACATGCCGCCGCCGCCCGCGCCGCCCGCCCCGCCCACCCCGCCCACGCCGCTCAGCCCTGCACCCGCGCCAAAATTAAACATATTTTTTTATAACTGGCTTTACGGCTCTGGTGGTTCTAGTCCTGAGCCTGAAGTTACAATGTATAATTATCCTTCATAGTATTCGATCAACAAAACCAACTAGATATCGGGTCGGCGCAAAAATTACGTCCCAGTAAATAACAGCGCACTGGAAACGTGAGCTCTTATTTCGTTTAGTTGATTTGAAACACAGCCAATGTAAACACGTTTCACAATGCCGCAATGTGTATTTAAAAGTTGCAAGAATAATGCCCGAAATGTAATTTAACGGCCGAAGTATTTTACTTTCTTTAAGTACATGTAAAATAAGTTATATTTTAAGCTCTAAACTAACAAATAATATTACATTTGAAACAAAATTACCGATTTTAAAGCACCCCTACAAATGTTTGGCCAAGGCTGGCCAATACACGCGTAAATATTTGTGAAACAGAACAGTAGATTGCATGAAGTAGATTTGTAGTGTAATCATTTTTAGTAATTTGTTACCAGAATTTTAAATAACGGTAATTGCTACTTTTGTCTCTGTTTGTGTGATTACATTTATTTTTATTTACTCTTCTTTATTGCACACCATCACAAAGAAGTACGTAATGGGAGGTCTTATTGCACAGCAATACCTTCGAGACAACCAATGAATGGACAGGATTACACAAAGATAAAGGGGGTAGGGCAAATTGGTGTGATAAAAAAGAATACCTACACATATTTATTTAAATAATATATATAATGCATATACTTCAGACATATATGCATACAAAAACTTAAATTAATATGTATTGAATTATCTAATTAAATCAATCATTATACTACTTACTATATTATATTCAATGACTAGTGTGGAAAGTATGTGTATACCAACAAACATAATGCCCAAAACATAAATAATTTTAACTAAACTTATGATCATATTATAAACTAGCCGTTCCCCGCGACTTCACCTGCGTGTAATTGAGGGTTTTAATTTTATTTCGCGGAACCCTAATTATTTTTCTAAAATTAAGTAACCCAAGTTACTGCTTATAACACGAGCTATCTACCAGTGAAAGTCCTATCGAAATCGGTCCAGCCGTTTCGGAGATTAGCCGGAACAAACAGACAGACAGACAAAATTTTTAAAAATTGTTTTTGTTATAGGTACCGCATATACTTTTATATGCAATTAGTAAAAAGCTGTTATTTTAACATTAGAAACAGACACTTCAATTTTATTTATTTGTATAGATGTATAGATTATTTTAGTCTTCAACGCGACTCATACCTCCTGTAGCAAAATTCGAAGAAGCAAACAGAAACGAAGCAAAACGACGTAGCTTACAAGGCAATAACGGGAAAAGGTACTTTAATTTGTTATTACTTAAGGTTGATTTCACACTAAATGTAATTTAACCTATATCTTTTCATTTCCAAGTGACAGGAGTAATGCATTGATTTGTTCCTTTTTGTAACTAATGTACAAAAAGGACTTTGTAATAAGAATGATTGTGATATTTGTGATTTTTAACTATGGTTGTAATTGGGTTGAACATAAAACTGATTTAATTTTTTGTCTCAGTTCTTTAATAAACAAATGTAGCTGTAAATGTAAATGTATATATTCACGCGGACAGCATTTAGCTATGATTTTGTACGTGACCCGTTATCTGGTTGGTATTGTTGATCGAAGTTCATAGTACACTACTTCACAATATGTTGATGCGTCATATTTGCAGCCCTTGGGAGATTTTGACGGCAACTTGAGCCAGCAGACGGCTAACAGTTGGCGATGGTATGGTACCTTAAATACAGTTTTATTTGTTTAAACTTTAAATAAATTATTAATAGTTAATTATCAACATCACTATTACTGAGACGGTCTTAAGGCCGGGAAGGGAAACATCCCCGTTATTATTTCTAAAACGATTTTATGTTCGGGTTCGTGTATTTTTGAGGCGGGTTTTAAAGTAGGGAAGAATCCATTGAGTAACCCCATGTTTGCAGATTTTACAATATAGTCGAATTATGTTTCCCCCACTGTGTTTTTCTTTAGCGCCAAGCTGGTGATAAATCAGCACTTAAATTCAAGATATACAATTAGTGTTTTCAGCTGGGATCAATTGGATTTACTAGAAGTGCAGTAAATATTTTTATACATTATATACAAATATTTACTGTTCATTTTTTTGCACTGTATTTTTTAACATTTTCTCCCAAACTAAGACTTTCTATATCGTCGGAACATTGAAAACACATATATCGCAAAGGAACGGCCAGACTGAGATCTAATATTTGTAACCCAAAACCAACTAATTGATACTTGAAACAATCAAATATATATAGTATAACGGAGCTAGTTATACTGTAAGAAATCTTTAAATGAAACCTATTTTATAAAGTAAAATGTTCGTGCAAACCAATATTTAAAATCACAATTAACAATTTCAGGGAAATCTAGTGATTGAACTCGGGTTACAGGCATACTATCAACTTCAAATCTAGCCAGTGAATTACCCCGGCTCTTACTTAACATGTTTTCATTCCTATATGCTCCCGTTATAATGTAACTCATTCTACAATTTACGTAGTAGAGCCATGCTGCAGCTATATTAGTGGTAAGATTGTAGCACGAATGGGTCGGCTAGACCGCGGAAGGACCACGCTCTCACAGAATACCAGTGTAAAATAGCAGCATAATGCTCATGTGTTTCGTATGGTGAGTGTAGAGAACTGGAAACGAAGCATTCCATCTTAGTCCTCACGTGTGACAACGCATCTGCAATTTTGATTCATAATCGAGGATAGATGTAGATGTTTATGGGCCACAGCAATCACTTACCATCAGGTAGACTGTGTGCTCGTTTGTCACCCTATCCTATAAAAAAACCAGTTAATAAATAATTAAAAGTACCTCTAAGCAACTGGTGCTGCAGAGCTTGCATGGCCGCAGCACTGTGTTGCTCGAAGGCCATCTGAGCAGCGGCCGCGGCTGCTAATTGCTACAGGCAGAATAGTGACAATCATTAGTATTATCAATATATAATTGAAAATTACATACAAAATAATTTAAAAAATAAAATTAGTAAGTTTAAGTCTGGACTGCTGAACTTCTTCGAGTAGATCTCATGGCTGGAATAATCATAATATTCCTGCCCACACGCAAAATACGCTCTTAGTCCCATATTAATAAACGTTACTCAACGACGAACTCAAGTGTGTAATCATTTGATACGCCCTCATACGATATCAGCATCTCAATATCGTTGCTAATTAATAAACACATAAAAACAGTATCTCAAAACGTTGTACTTAGGAATACTGTTATATGACATGCACTCAATTACACACTTGAGAGTCGAGTTTCATTTATTAATCAGAGTGGCACTCAGCTGATATCGTAAACCTAAACCGCATCTTGAGATATGTTTATTAATAAGATCATAAGCTCAAGATTGTACTCAAGTGCGTGTACTTGAGCTGAGTAACGTTTATTAATATGGGCCTTAACGTGGAGTTGCGGAAAATAGCCCGTCGTAAACTAAACCAAGTTTAGTCTTTGGATTAACTTCAAAACAGGGTTTAACAGAGAGTACTGCCGAAAGGTATGGTATCTATTGAGTTTTTTATATCATCATCATTTTATTAAACATTACAGTCTCCTTCACAAGTTTCCCAAGGGGTGCCACATGTGGATATCATGTGGTGGTCTAGGTCTAGTGGGGTGCCGCCCTACACTTCACTTACAGCTAGGATAGGATGTTGCCACTTGACAACCTTCCTTTTCCAAAAATCTTTCTTCCCCAGTTTATCGTGAAATTATTATTTCACAAATGTTAATATTATTGTGGTGAAATGTTTACCAATTAATTAGCAACCACAGGTGACGATAATTAATTAAAGAGTGAAAATTTGAAATACCTGATGCTGCTTACTGGAACTGCTTCCTTGACTGGCTGTACTGGATGACGATCCTTTAACACAAAATGGAAATGTGATAATGATTAAAATTTTATATCTTTAGTTTGACAAATATACTATTATACATATATAATAACAAATATCTGAACATACTATATCCATATATTTCATTTATTATATGTATAATATGTGTTTCACACCCGTGAAAGCACGTAAAACTCTCTCTTCGTTCGTGTTGGATTGCTATCCCATCGGACTATGAGGGTGAGGAATAGAGACACTACAATCTTGTCCTGTGCAAATAATAATAATAATAATACAGTTATTTACTGAGTAAAACCATATAGATACAACAAAGTTGAAGTAGCAATAGCTGTGTGTCGGGATTCATTTCCTTCCTATATCACAAAGTTATAATTACAAAATGGCTTATCACAAATCAAAACAGATACATGGTAACAAAATAAATAAGACTTTTACAAATAAAAGAAAAAAATATGCATGCGTTTCTGTGTTGTATACATATTTGTATATGATGCGTACATATTTTGCGTGTGTGTGTCTGTGTTTGTTTACTTAGTCGATAAGTAATAACTCGTACTATTGAGTGATTTTTAATTGATTTTCTGTCCTTGTCCATTGAGTATATGTCAACTTACGCAACCATAATAATAATAATAAATGGCTAGTCTCGGTTAGTACTGGTGGCCGAAATCGAAAGTTCATTTCTGTTCATCGAAACTTCAGTCCGGAGGACTTTATAATTATGTACCCATGTGTTACGGACGGCTCGGGGGCCACCGCCCCGTCGCCCCCTCATACCCCGTTACGCCCCGCGCACCCCGCACCCCGGCCGGACATCACGTGATGCCTGCAGTCAACGAGCGCACAGCCACGCCGCGTGGGGACACAGCGACGATGAAACCCCCGCCGCGCAAATAAAACAAGGGCATCCGGCCGCCTCAAGGTATTCGATTCGCAAGCGGCAAAGAAGACTCAAGAAAATATTCCCTCCAGTGTTCCGTACATAGATTAATTAATTAGTAATTGCCGCATAACTGTAAATAGTGTAATACATAGTTTAAATTGTCCCACCTTTTCTTTCTTATACAGTCTTAGTAAAGTTATCGAAGTAAAATACATACAGTCAACATCTATCACTCCACAACTAATTCGACTCCATCGTCTAAACTAACCCCAATACCATGTATATAAATGAGTTTCTAAAAAAAAAGAATTTGTAAAGAAAGTTGATACAAGCTGCGTTACCTTTACCTTTCTTGGCAGGCACTTCTGCCTCACGAGCGCGCTCCGAATGATGGCTGCGAGTCAGCGACTCCGCTGCAGTTAGCGAACGGTTACTGAAAAAATTCAAAATTAGAAGAATAAAGATGAGAAGAATATATATCTTAGTAAAGGGAATGTAGCAGATGTCTTACAATGTTGACACTGCTCCCAGACACCGGTTTGGATATTTCATGTCTAGTGTAACCGATACAGCACATTAAAGACCACTGCGGAACAGGCCGTAGTTTGCCTCATAGGGGTGATATTTGCCATTGTTGCCAGTTGCCACGCATGGCAAGCGGGTTGGCAATCGTAGTTTTCTTTATTTTTAGTCGTTATTAGGAAGCCACTGCTGCAGATCTCCCGATTTATTTCCCTCTGTCGCCTCTTACTATACCCGCGGGATTATATGGGGTAGTGGATATACTTACACCGCCACAATACAGCAATGCCTAGTGTAAACAGATTGGTTATACCGCCATCTATAAGGAGCCATCTCTGGCATTTCCTATAGTCGCCCCTTACGACCGCACTGAACGAAATGGGGAAATGGAGTCTCTTACTCCGCCATCACACCGCAAATCTTCTTTCCAAGGAAAGAGGCTCAAGTACAGCAGTGAACTTTTGGGGGTTTATAAAAAAAGAAAAGCAATTGTTTTGATCATCATAACAGCCCTTCACAAGTCCACTGATAAACATAGGCCTCCCCCAAGGAATGCCACAAAGCACGGTCCTGAGTCACCTGCATCCATCGACTTCCTGCATGTCTTACCAGGTCGTCACTCCATCTAGTGGGGGGACGCCCTATTGTTTGTTTTGATACAAACCATAAATGTTATATTTATAGGCCACCTTTTTGAAGGTCTCGTTTTTGCCTATAACCTAAAAATAAAGTAAACAGCCAACTTACTAAATAGATCGTTGAAATGAAATCTATTTGAATTAAAAAAATAGTTTAAAAATAAAAATTTTGTACAGCCGAGCCCGAGTTCAATATAAGTTATTAAGAATAACAATAACAATTGGTCTGACCTTGATCAAATTCATATGGGACCACACGAGAAGTATCAGCTTTCAAATAAAAAAGAATCATCGAAATCGGTTCACCCAGTAAAAAGTTATGAGGTAACACACATAAAAAAAACATACAGTCGAATTGAGTACCGTCTCCTTTTTGGAAGTCGGCGGAAAAAACGGATATATTGCTTTCTTAATGAACACGAATACTATAAATTGAATTGAAGAAATTATTGTTCGAAAATATAGGAGAATTTAAAATAATACAAGTTGAATGTTAACTTGACGGATGATATTCATCTCACGACAGTTAAAAGGGTAAAAGACAATGACATATTTATTTAATAAATTACAATTAACAACCTGTTCGATGATTGTGGAGGTTTGGTGGTAGTCGGTTGAGGCGTCACCGCTGTTGGCGTCGACGGTGCCGGAGTTCGAGTCGACGACCGTGATACTGACATCTACGCAGTAAAGCAAAAAAAAAGTAAGGACATTTTTGACACCAATTGTGTATCTAGTTTTTTATTAGTGATCGATTCATAATATAGTATAACCACAGCCTAAAAAGAACATACAGTCATCGCGTTTGATGTTGTCGGAATAGCCGACATAAACAATAAATTGCTAGGGTTGTCAGAATGGGAAGTAGTAAAACGCTGATTAGATTTTATTTTATTTTACGCTTAAACAAATTAATGTGTATGTGAAAACTGATGAACTTATTCCTTAATTTTAAATGAGGAATACCCACAGTTTTTTACCGCACATGTTGTGAACCATTTTAATTTATTTGCGTACAGGACAACCCTAGTGGACAGTGCTCCCGCCAGCGTCTCGCTCCGCACCACACCGCACGATTGCCCAGCCTAGACGCCTTCGATGACCGACTGTTAGTAATAGTTAGAATATGGTATAACTTAAATACATGTATTAACTAAGATTCCTCGAGGAACTAGAATTATATTTATTCTGTAATTTTAGAGACCAATATTCTATACACACAATAAACAAACTTCCCCAGTTGCTGAAACTAAGCATATAGCATTTTAATTTCTTCAGCTCAATTCATATTGATGCAGTGCTGTTGAAAGAAGCGTTATTCACATAGACCAACATTACTTGAATGTGATAACCGTGAAAAGATAGGCTTTTGCCAACGGTCTTTGAAACGCGTAGTCTGAGAGCTGGCGATAAATTTTGGGAAGGTCCTTTGGGCAAGTTGAAATTGTGAAAAAATATAATTTCGTCAATATACGAATCCAGTCCTGCGAGTCTGGCAGAGCCTTTGCGGTTATTTCGTTACTGCGCAGTATATAACATTTGCAAAAAAAATTCCAAAAAAATGTTTTTTGGCAACTTGATTTCTTTTTTATCTTTTAATTTAGTTTTTATATAATTCCAAAAAAATAATCCCAGACGTTTTTGTCGGTTATAAAGTATTACCAGACCTCGTCAAAAATATTTTTTTTATATTTCCAAAAAATATACTTTTGGCAATCTCAAATTTTAATCACTTATTTATTGAGTAATTTTTAATAATACCTGCAAATCGCCAGACAAATTTAGCGGTTTTAAACAACTCCCAGACGTGAATAAAGTTTACAAATGAATACGACAAAATAGTCTTATGGGTAGCCACGAGTGCGAGAAAGATAGCTTATCGAACCATGCAGACATCGCATGGCGGCCTAAGCTTCTCGCGCTGTGATTGGTTACTAAGAAATATCTTTTTTAAAGATTTTAAGATCAAATTCTTGTTTTGGGATTTAGCATGTATATATGCGCATATACGACCATGTTAATATCTGTATATATAGTTTGAATTATTTTAGATCAGTGCTGTAATAGTTTGTATAACAGCTATTAATTTTAACCTTGTATTATTAGTAACCTTGCCAAAAATATGTTTAGATAATTACCACCCCATGTTCTTAAAAAGGTACAATATGTATAAAGTGCTTACCGCCCAGAGATGAAGGTGAAAAATCTACAGCCGTAACTTTTTTCACAGTGATATGGTACAAATATAGATGACTTTCGAACTACCTAAATGTAGTTATGTATGAGCTATATTATTGTAAAGTTTCTTTAAAATACATTTAGTAGTTTTTGCGTGGAAGTGTAACAAACATCCGATCATTATATATATCCGTTATTATATTTTAAATAGTGGCCACCAGTTTGAACTTTTTATTTACTACAACGATTGCTTTCAAAATCGATATATGAGAATCAGTGTCGTCTTAGATCACGTATCCGTTTTTAGAATTAAAAGTGGCCGCCACGAACTTAGTTACTAGACCGATTGTTTTTAAAATCGATATCTGAATCAGTTTGGTCTGCGAGAACAAATACATTTGAGTTGACAAAAGTGGCCGCCATTTTGATTGTTTTTTTTTTATATTAGACAAATACTACTTAGTAATATTACGAACTGTCAGGATTAAAAAGATGCAGTCGTTTTTGAGTTTAGTTTCTAGACCTTCAGCTTTTAAAGTTTATATCTTAGAGTCCGTGTGGTCATTTAATATCTACAACAAAAGCAATCGATCCATTTACAAAGAATATCCAAAATAATTTTTTTGATTTACATAAAAGCATCGATTTTTATGATCAGAAAACCCAAAAATCGGTTCATTAAATAATAATTTCAATGTGGCAATCTGTTTTTTTTTTTTTAAAACATTTTCGTTTTCCACGATCAGGACTTTCAGACATCGATTTTAAACAAAAAAAAAAAGTTTTTAAAAATGATGGGCACTATTTTTTAGTTTTGGCGACGTATATATATTCATAGACCACGTGGCTTCCCATATATTACAGATTCTTTATAGATTTTAAAAGCAATCGGTCTAGAAAAAAGATTTTAAAATGGCGGCTACTTTATTCTCTACTGGCGATTCCTAACGCATATTATCATATCCTATTAAAAGAACAAGTATAGTTTATTTAGTTCCATTTAGTCTTACTTTGAAGTTACATAATTTTATTCGATTATTTGAGCACTCTAAGACCTAAATTAATGTCATAACAAATATAAAAATCACTCTCTGATAGCAAACTTGCGAGTTTAAACCTAGTTACAATGATGCTAATATTCATTATACTTTGCACGCCTCGAATGCGACCTTCGTTAAAATAGCCTAGCGATTGTTGCGGTGTGCGTATTAAATCAAAATGCATCACGTCCGCGTGCGAATCTGTATCACTTGACCCGTTACGCGCCTTTGTTAAGGCCGCTCTTACTGTAGGGTTCGGTGTTGTGAAACAATAACAAGAACAATAACAAGGTGAACGTCTTTGAAACTCAGATAATTTACCTACTTACCATTTTTTGTTTCACATTTTTTGCTATTTACTAACATGCGACACGCGACGCCATTATTAATTAAGGAGTGGCAATGGTAAGTCCTACTATTTTTAATATCTTTCTTTTATCGACCAAGTAAGTGTTAAACTAATAACCAGTATATGGTGATTTTGCATTAGGTCTTGTAGGCAGTCACTAGTACTGGGAGGTCCAATTACACTGAAAGATTTTTTAAGGTCATTATCATTTTATACGCAAAAAAATCGAAAACTGTTAAGCTGTGGTCGGGTCGCTAATCAAATAATAAATTTGTAACTATGGCGCTAGTAACTAGGTACCTAATTATCTAGATCTACCTATAAGTAATAATATCTTAACTTTTGATATCCTTAGGAACGGCAAAGAATGAAATGTAGACATTTCTATTATTATTTAAGCATCCGTATGTTATACCTTTTGGCGTTTTGAGAGGCCATACTTGAATAAAAACTCAAAAATAAATATCAAGTGCCTAAATACTTATAAGAGAAAAACATTTTTTTTGTTAACGTAAGACGCGCGTCAGCTCGAGTGCGCGCGTGTCTTCTTCACGGAATTAGCCCCTTGTAGAGGGCCACGCAGCGTAGGTATATTTTTATGCGTAAAGCCGGAGTGAGACAGGCCTGACTTTATGAAAATTAAGTGTCTACTCTAACGCTCTAATGGAGCGTAGGTTTTTAGGTAGGTAGATATTTATCTCAAGAAAAAATGCTACTACTGCTTTAGCAATATATTTACTGGCGCATGTGTGCGTGTATGTGTGTGTATTTGCGTGCGTATATGTATCAAGCGGGGTGAGGTATATGTCTTCTAATTTGTACGCTAATTATAGTATATACTTATATTTGGACGTAGTTATGCAAAAAGGATCCAACCCGCGATAAGTTAATTTGAGTTTATGATGTTTGAAGTCTCTATACTTCAAATATCATAAACTCAAATTATCGGTATGGTTTCTGTCTGTTTGTAATTTTCTTCTTATTTGTGTTACGTTTGCTAAAATTGTTACATCACATAATAGTATAGACCACAAACATTATTTTTCAAGTCAACATTTTTGGCACAAACTCGGGTTGGATCCTTTTTGCATAACCACGTCCATTTGTGTACCGTGTGCGTGTGTGCGCGTGCGTCTTGTGCAATGCGTTCGTGTACGTAACGTATGCGTATGTGTATTTAAACGTGGCGTGAGATAACACAGTAGCGCCCAGGTGCTACTGTGTGCATGTGTGCGCGTGTACCCGTGTGGCGCGGTACACGCATATGGTGCAGCGCATCCGTGTAAGTGTGAGCGTGACGTATGCATGCGTATGTGTATCAGACGTGGCATAGGGTACTATGTGCGTGTAGCTGTGCAGCGCGGTGCGCGTGCGGCAGGTGCACCGCGTCCGTGTAGGTGTGTGCGCGTGGCGCATGCGTACGTGAACATACGCGGTGTGCGTGTGTGCGTACCTGCGCGGCGCGGTGCGCGTGCGGCGTGTGCGGCTGGTGCGGCGCGTGCGGCGTGTGCGGCGTGTGGGGCGCGTGCGGCGCGTGCGCGTGCGCGGGCGCGGTGTGCGCGGGCGGCGGCGCGGGCGGCGGCGAGGGCGCGGGCGCGGCCAGCCGCCGCTCGATCTCCTGCTCCTGCTGCAGCGCGCGCACGAACGCAGTCTTCAGACGCGCCGTGTGTTCCGCCTGAAAATTAAAACACTTTTAAAATGTGTCTTTTTTTTTTTCAACATTTTAAACCTCCTCTCCATATTTATGTAATTTATTTAAATAAACTAATTACCTGATAAAAGTAAGACTCAGCTAGAATCTAGCCATTTCGTTGCAATTACCAATCGATTATTCTAAGCGAATTCGTTTTATTTTGTACCAACTGTAATTGTATTAAATAAACTATAAGTTCGAATTTGGAGAGCATTTATTCCACAGCAACCTTGACAAGAAAATATATTTAAGACATTTAAACGATAAAAACCTATTGATTAAAGGTTGAACTGCAAGGTCAGAAAGTCTTGAGTTCGAATTTGCTATTAAACTACTATGGTAAATAATTCCTAAAACAAGAATTTCGAGCTAACTAGTAGTGATTGACGGACATATTAGTCAAGTAACCTTACAAATTTGTATAATATATGAACATGAAGCCTTAAAGCTTTCCTCACTATTTTTTCTGATTTCCGTTTGTAAGTGTACTCGAGGGCACAAGTGATCATAGCTTTAGCGTAGAGCTGGACGTGTCTGGACATGCCTACACCTGACATCACATGAGACCACATGCAGTGTAACACACATATTTAGAGTGCGTGTTTCACGTCGCCGCACACACACACACACACACCACGGGAACGTACACGCGGTGTGCGTGCGCTCCGCCGTGAAGTCGCAGCCGCACTGCGCGCACACCGCGGGCACGTGCAGCGCGTGCAGCACGTGCAGCTAGCGGGGCGCGGTGTGCACGTACCTTGAGCGCGCGCTTCACGTTGCCGGAGACGCAGAGCTCGCAGAGGCGGCGCGCGGCGGGCGCGCAGCTGAAGGTGGCGTCCTGGCGGCGCGGCGGCGCGCGCTCCCAGCGCCACACCGCCGTGAAGTCGCAGCCGCACTGCGCGCACACCGCGGGCACGTGCAGCACGTGCAGCACGTGCAGCTAGCGGGGCGCGGTGTGCACGTACCTTGAGCGCGCGCTTCACGTTGCCGGAGACGCAGAGCTCGCAGAGGCGGCGCGCGGCGGGCGCGCAGCTGAAGGTGGCGTCCTGGCGGCGCGGCGGCGCGCGCTCCCAGCGCCACACCGCCGTGAAGTCGCAGCCGCACTGCGCGCACACCGCGGGCACGTGCAGCACGTGCAGCACGTGCAGCTAGCGGGGCGCGGTGTGCACGTACCTTGAGCGCGCGCTTCACGTTGCCGGAGACGCAGAGCTCGCAGAGGCGGCGCGCGGCGGGCGCGCAGCTGAAGGTGGCGTCCTGGCGGCGCGGCGGCGCGCGCTCCCAGCGCCACACCGCCGTGAAGTCGCAGCCGCACTGCGCGCACACCGCGGGCACGTGCAGCACGTGCAGCACGTGCAGCTAGCGGGGCGCGGTGTGCACGTACCTTGAGCGCGCGCTTCACGTTGCCGGAGACGCAGAGCTCGCAGAGGCGGCGCGCGGCGGGCGCGCAGCTGAAGGTGGCGTCCTGGCGGCGCGGCGGCGCGCGCTCCCAGCGCCACACCGCCGTGAAGTCGCAGCCGCACTGCGCGCACACCGCGGGCACGTGCAGCACGTGCAGCACGTGCAGCTAGCGGGGCGCGGTGTGCACGTACCTTGAGCGCGCGCTTCACGTTGCCGGAGACGCAGAGCTCGCAGAGGCGGCGCGCGGCGGGCGCGCAGCTGAAGGTGGCGTCCTGGCGGCGCGGCGGCGCGCGCTCCCAGCGCCACACCGCCGTGAAGTCGCAGCCGCACTGCGCGCACACCGCGGGCACGTGCAGCACGTGCAGCACGTGCAGCTAGCGGGGCGCGGTGTGCACGTACCTTGAGCGCGCGCTTCACGTTGCCGGAGACGCAGAGCTCGCAGAGGCGGCGCGCGGCGGGCGCGCAGCTGAAGGTGGCGTCCTGGCGGCGCGGCGGCGCGCGCTCCCAGCGCCACACCGCCGTGAAGTCGCAGCCGCACTGCGCGCACACCGCCGGCACGCTCGACCGCGGCATGCTGCCACAAACACACACACACACACACACATGCATTGGTCGCCACGATACCACATCGCGACACCATCGTTAATGAGGACTAATAAATCTTCCGCTCAATAGATATCTCTAGTTAGTACTCAGGTGAACTTATTTGTTACATAATTTCGAAGTTGTATTTTAAATAAAAAATTATCGATTTCGACGCTCTGTCCACTGCTGAACATAGGTCTCCCCAAGGAATGCCACAAAACACAGTCCTGAGCCACTTACAACCATCGACTTCCTGCATAGTAAGATATGTAAGAGAAAAGTTGTCACTGTACAGTGCAACCATATATTTTTGTTAGTAAGCGATTTATTTAAGTCAACACCATTTGCGTCATTTACTTTATTTTTCAGGCAGTCGCGTTTTCATGCCAAACACGGCGGACGCGTTCTATATCATTATCAATTTTGTATCAATATCATTATCAATTTTGTAGCTATATCATTATCACTTTAAATACTATATTTTTTTCTTATCTCATATATCATTTAAAAGTGTTCCGTACAGTCACTCTATCTAGTAGGAGGCCGCCCCACTCTTCGCCTACCGGTACGAGATTGCCACTCGAGAACCTTTCTTCCTAATAGGTTGTCGGTTCTTCAAGCTATATAGCTGATCCATTGCCACTTCAGCTTACTAATCCGTTGGACTATGTCAGTTACTCTGGATCTAATACAGATATATTCATTTCTATGTTTATCACACAGAGAAACCCCAAATACAGCCCTCTCCACAGTTCGCTGAGCGACCTTGAGCTTCCTCATACAGACAGCAGTGAAGAACCACGTCTCAGATCTATAAGTCATCACTGGCAACACGCACTAGTTGTACAATCTTGCTATCAAGTTTTGAGGTATATATACCTGACAAGAAGATATGTCGTAATCACCCAAACGCTGCCCAGTCAAGTTTAATCCATCGATTGACATTCGGTCGAAGTTAGACTTACCTAGTCGGACTGTTTATCCCAGGTGGACATACTCGCCAACAACTTCGAGCTTAGCGCTGGCAACAATAACCGTGTAATATGAACGTTACATATGTTCTTTGTTTTGTCCATGTTAATCTTAAGACCTATCTGTTGAGAGACACTATTGAGGTCATTTGAAGTTTGCCATTTAGTCGTCATAATGAAGTCAATCTAATTTTTTGGATTCGAAGATTACCGTGTCCTCCGCCTCTCTTCGGACCTCAGATAATCCATTAATATCCCAGCGCAACTTCTCTATTTCTTCTTCCAGCTCCAGGATCTTCTCGTCAGTCCTCAGGGTGCGTGCGTTGTATGTTGCCAGATCTTAGTAAGCCAGATTGGACATATTACAGGCTACTTGAATAAGGCAAGCCAGGGCTGGATTGTGGGTGAGATTGGAAAACTGAAACCCTGGCCTGAGGCAGAGCTCTCGATAATACCCGAGAGCGAACTGCCTAAGCCTCAGCTGGGCATCACCTTTCTGCCCCGCAGCGAAGCTGACAGTCCAGAGGAAGCGGCTGTGCTGTTGAGGGCACAAAATTAAGGGTTCCGTACTGAGCTCTGAAAAATCCTCCACCGTAGAGACGAGGAGAATGGATTCCTAGTAACCTTTTCAGGCGGCAGTCGTCCTGGCAGCAGATGATAACTTTTAAGGTCAGGGGAGGCTCTAACGTGGCAATGGAGCATGAACTGCCCCAACTGCAATCCCAACAGCCCTCCACCTCGAGGGGTGACACTGGAACGTCATTAGACGTTCCAGTGTGAGAGAGTGACTGAGACCCAATGCGCTGATCATGCCTCGGTCCGAGGGCCTACGCTGGTGTCGGCCAGGGGTAAGGGAAAGGGAGGTGGTAGCAGTAGACCAAAAGGTATGGCGGGGATCAAGAGCGCCAGTAAAGGACGTCTTCGTTGTAAGCAGACGAAAATGACCTCTGCCCCTCCCCCCACGCCTATAAATTGCTAACCCCAAGGGTAAGACGAGGGTCCTCCAAGCAAATCTTCACTATGCAGCAGCTGCTTCTGCCGGTGTGGAAGTTTGCTTCGTAGAGGACAACATCGACCTCGCCCTCATACAAGAGCCTAGGGTGGCCAACGGTCAAGTTCTGGGATTGCCGACTGTCGGTAAGATCTTAGTTAATACTCAAGGCAGTAGACCTAGAGCTTGTATAATCTACAATAAAAATATTGAACTTTTAGCTGTTCCAGAGTATTGCAATGACGACCTGGTTACAGCCTTTATAAATCTTAAAGGATAAACAGGGGCCAGAGTAATCATTTGCTCAGCCTATCTTCCCGGAGAGAATCCAGATTCTGCAATTAAGTTAAAGCGAGTGCCGGAGTTCGCCCGTAAGCACAACGCCGAACTTGGGGTGGGATGTGATGCTAATGCTCACCACACAGTATGGTGAAGCACTAACATCAACGAAAGAGGAGTTACTTTTTGAGATTCTCATATCCAATCGCCTAGTAAGCCTAAACTTAGGGTGTACACCAAACTTTGTAACGCGTGCTAGGCAGGAAGTTTTAGATATAACCTTTGCTACCAATAACATATCCAGGCGGATTACTGACTGGCATGTTATTAGTGAAAACTCGATGTCTGATCACAGACACATTAAGTTTGTGATTAGAGCATCACCAACCTATGAAACTGTTGCTTTTAGGGATCCAAAAGCGACCTCCTGGGATGTCTATAGAAATAGCCTAAGGAGGAATTTGAAAACGTCTCCTAAAAGCATAAAAACGATTGAAGGTCTTTAGTTAGCGGCGGAGACGGTAACCGTGAAGCCTTCCAGAACAGTTGTCCCGTCAAAACCAAGACCTCAACATGAAAGGTTCCTTGACTAAGCTAAAGGAGTTTAGGGAAAAGACCAGGAAACTATTCAATAGGGCTAAAAAAAAGCAAAAAGAATGGGATATTTATAATGCAGCCCTAACCGAATATAATAAAGAAATTAGAAAAGCTAAGAGAGCATCGTGGAGGAAGCTATGCGAAGAAGTTAAGTCTTTGCCTTGCAGTGCAAGATTACACAAAATGCTATCGAAAGCTAAACCTAATCAGATCGGGCTTCTTAAAAAGCCTGATGGTTACTTCACTAATAGTGAAACGGAACCACTGGAGCCTCGAACTCTTTCAGAGCCCTACGAAGGCCTTGTAATGAGGACTGGTGTAGGGCTGCAAAGATAATAAAGCCAAACCTGGTGCAGCGGGCTGTTGACTCCTTTAAACCGTATAAGAAGTGGGGAGAATGGAAAAATACCCATCCATCTACAGGGGGGTATTGATATCCTTCTTCCTTATCTGGTGAAATCTTCGGAGCAAGTTTTGCATGGGGATATATTCCAGAATGATGGACAATTGTCAAAGTTCTATTTATACCTAAGGCTGGTAGAAAGGACTACGCTTTACCAAAGTCTTTTAGACCTATAAGCCTTTCTTCCTTTCTTCTTAAGACATTGGAAAATATTATAGATAGATATATTAGGGAGGTAGCTCTAGCTACGAGACCTATACACTACAAACAGCATGCTTACCGCAGAGGCAAATCTAAGGAAACAGCCCCGATCATAATTGACAATATATAGTAATTCGACAGTAGCCCTACATTACTGCTGGTTGGGGGCCTGAAATCTAAAAATGTTGACCCCACAACCATCAGGCACTCAAACAGAAAGGCAAAAATAGAGCTGTTTCAAACTTCGATTGAGGTTGCATTGAGGCTGCCCACAAGGAGGTGTTTTATCACCCCTCCTTTGAACTCTTGCGGTTGATCAATTATTGTACAAGATGGGAGACCTTCGCATTGACACACTGGCTTATGCTGATGACCTTGTGATAATTGCGAGGGGATTTTGTCAAAGTACTTTATCATTAATCATACAAAGAGCCCTAAACACCGTAAACAACTGGTGCAGGGATAACAGTTTATCAGTTAATGCTGATAAAACTGTTAAATACCCTTTACCAAAAAGAGACAGTTGGAATAATTAGTCACACCAAAACTTAATGGTAAAGAAGTGCCGTTCTCCATTGAAGTTAATACTTGGGCGTAACAATCGACCAAAAACTAATGTAGAACTCTCACCTTAGCGACGTATGTCATAATTCTAAAATTTCTTTAGGTACGTGCAGTCGCATGGTCGGGAACAACTGGGGCTTGCGTCCCAGTATGATGTTATGGCTGTACAGCAGTATAGTGAGGCCGATTCTTACCTACGCCTCCACTGTCTGGTGTAATAAGGTCAACCAAAAGACGACTGCGGACAGACTAAATAGTCTACAAAGGACTGCCTGCTTAATGTCTGGAGCGATGCGATCATCGCCTGGAGCGGCTCTTAATGCACTTCTAGGCCTAACGCCCCTTGATCTTTACTTAGACAAGGAGGCGAGGGCTAGTATGTATAGGATTACGCTCAGAGCGGTTTGAGCTTACTTTCCTATAGATTGAGATCCATGCTTGACTCACTTAAGGAAACACCGGTCTTATGCATGATCTCAGATATGCGTCCACTATATACTTTTAACAAAAAGTATACAGTGGAACTACCTTCCAGAGAAGACTGGCTGAATGGACAGGTGATCTGTGAGGTCGATAGCCTTATATGGTATACCGATGGATCAAAAATAGGAACGCCCCAAATTCAAACTTAGTATGAATTTGGATAAATTCACCTCTATCTTCCAGGCAGAAATTTTCGCCATACTTCAGTGTGCGGAAATCAATCTGCAAAATCTACGTTGACCATATAATTTAAATTAACTCTGATAGTCAAGCAGCACTGCTAGCGCTGAGATCATACTTGGCGAATTCGAAGCTAGTTGGAGACTGCGTGAACTGTCTAAGCTGGGTTCCGGCTCTCGCGGGTATTGTAGACAATGAAATTGCCGACAAGCTCTCACGGGAGGTTTCAAAGAGTACACAATTTGGACCCGAGCCATTTTTTTGAATCTCTAAAAGCCTCGCTCGATTGACACAATTTTAACGGTGGTAGAGCCCTGCAG